GTCTTGGGGCACCATCGCTCTGCCATTGTCGTCAGCAGATCATTGTCGATATCAATCTGCATGAAGTACCTCAACATGTCCAATCCCGTCATCTCTAGATAGGGCGAGAGTCGAGCATTCCAAGGGGGCAATCGTGTTGTCCCTCGATGATTGATGGGGATAAGTGATTCCTACAAAAAAAAAACACGATGTTGTTAGGGAAAGGAAAGCAAAACAAAAACTTTTAAAACAATGAAATAATTTACAAATTTATATGGTACGGAATGTCTACCGGATGGTTGTCCTAAATTGCACGGGAGCGATGTTGTTTTTGCTCGGTCAAATACCTTCTATCCCTTGGGCCAGGATCGATATACAATCGAGGGCCGTATATCTCTGCACCCATCTATAAAAAAAATTGAATGAATCTAAATATTTCGAACCCATTTAAAAAAAATCACAAAACAAATTACGTACTCTCAGAGCCTCTTTGTCCATTTTTTGGCGAAAACTGGAGAGAGTATCGACGAAAATTTAGCGCGAAGGCTTGTAAAAAAAACTCTAGTAATTCTTTCTAATATGGAAGATCAGACTTAGCCGCAACCATAGAGCATACTTAGAACAAAAGTAGAGTGACAAAATGGCGGGAGAAGAAGTATCAAATGGTGGTGTGGTTTGGAATGAGGGAGGAGTAGTATTTATAAAAGAAGGGGTGCTGGAAAATCTTCACAGAGCCACCACCATTGTCGATGACTGCGGTGAAGAACCCGCTTTTCTCGAAGACAGGGAAATGCGCAGATCGCTGACGTGGGACGCTGTGAAGCGTCGGATCTGGGAGAAAAGCCAAAATCCGAGCCTCGCCGCATCCTACAGCAACGGTGAAGGGCACGGGCCGACGCGGATCGGTGATGTGGACAGCGGGGCTTTCCCCGCTTTAATCAATAACGGTGAATGGTTGATTCAGGTACAAATCTACACATTTTGCCCCTCATGTCTTGATAGTTTGACTTTGCATTTCATCGCTCCTCGACATATTTCACGCTAGGTTGTGCTTGTTTTGATGCATTTCAGGTCCTAGCACGTGTGAAAGGGTCGAGGTCGAATTTTGGGAAAATTGGAGGTCAAATAGCGCAAAAACCGAAGAAAAGTTCGAATTCTGGCGACCGTCATAATTGCCCCGTAATAGTGAAGTGCAAGCGTCAAGAAAGAAGCAGCAGTTCACGGTCAAACAAGGGAGTTCACAGTCTCCTAAGACCGTGAACAGGATCCACAAACCGTGAACATCGAGGCGTCCAGGGAGAAATCCTCAGTTACTACCGCGAGACGTGTTCACGGTCAACAAAATCGTGAAGATTGAGCACAAACTGTGAACCCAGGAGAGTGAAGCGGTGCATTTTGGAGACGACACTGAGTTCACGGATGCATTTAGCTGTTCATGGTCGTGAACTGGCCAACGCGACCGTGAACTGGTCACTTTCGGGAAAATATGAAGACAGCAACAGGGAGAGAGAAAGGGGAGCTGGTTTTTGGAGAAGGAACACTTTCTTTCTCTAGGATTTCGACCCAAAACACCAAAGGGGAGTTCTAGTGAGAGAGAGAGCGCTTTTGGAGCTTTATTGAAGGCATTAATCAAGCTTGAAAGCTAGGAATCAAGCCTAGAAGAAGAAGAAGATCCATAGATTTTTTGTAATCTCTCCTTCCTCTCTCTAGAAACTCACCCCCTTCTCTTAGGTTTAAGAACCCTAGGTCTAGTTTTGGGTATGTTGTTGATGTATGTGACAAAATCCCTAGTTTGATTGTTGATTTTACTTAATTGATGGATGTTTTCTTGAACGACATGAGTGTGGTTTCCATTTTCTCGCTTTGAGATTTTGACCTAGGAGTGGGATAATCCCCTTAGAGCCCCTTCCTTGGCGTCTTCGGGTCACTCCTATCTTATGTTGTCCAGGTAGTCACCGAGGGAGTTGATTCGACCGGTCTCCTAGCAATATACGATACCCTAGGTTGAATAGAGCACTAGTCATCCATTGATTCGCCATTTCGGGTCATTCCCGAGGGATTCCATCTCCAAGCGGTAGTGTATTTGAGTCGATCGAGCTAGGAGGATACCCAACATCGATCCAAAGAACGGACCTAGGACGATTCAACCCAAGAGAGCTCCAAACCTTGTAAATAGCTAGGTTAGTGGTTAGTATAGGTTAGTTAGCTTAGTTTTATAAATCACTATCCTAGTATTGGCTAGATAACGAACCCTAAACTTGAAGTAGGGTAAGCCTAGATCCCCGAGGTACGATAAATTCTTATTGTTTGTTTGCCCTATGCTACACCCAGTCGGCTGTTATACTTGGCCGTCAATTGAGATGTTGTCCTTAGAATGAGTCAATGGCCCGCGCTAGTCCACGTCAGCGATCCGCGTCCCCCACCCCTTCACCGTGGTGGTCCGATGCTGTGATGCTTTCCCCGTTTTCCAAAACTGCAGTGATGCTTTCCCCGTTTTCCACAATTGCGGTGATGTATTCGCAGTTTTCTTCTACAATGGTGAATTGTTCACTGTTGTTGGCAACAACGGTGAATAACTTCACCGTCTTAGTCGACGACGGTGATCATCATCACTGTTTTGGTCAAGCGTGGTGATTATGAAACATACGTACTTTGGGAATTGTTTTCATAACTAATGTATTTTGAGAATTTTTTTACGAACTAGTGTATTTTGGGATTTTTTCCAACCAAGTTTCGGATTATTTGGAGGTCATTTTAGGGGTGAAAATGAGACTTTTGGTCAGGTCACTACCAGGTCAAGCTGTGATCTACATCAAGACGTGAAAGATCATGATTGTGAACCCCCACTTCATTTGTAAATTCGAGAAACAAAGAGATAATAGGGTCTCACAAACACGAAGGGGCCAGAGTGCTACAATAAGATCACGGTCGCGAGAAATGTTCATGACCGTGGACTTGAGTTCAAGCCTGTGAACTTGAGTTCATGCTAGTGAACATGGTCACGACCAGGTCAGAGCTAGAATCTGGTTGTGACTTACGTCAACATTTCAAAAGTTCACGTTAATATCCAATGTTAACAACGGTGAACTCTATGATCATGAAATTTGACCTAGGAACGAGTCTATAAGTGGCTGCTTTTTGGCATATGAGACATCCTAGAGAGAGAAAAGGATATCATGAGAAAATGTAGAGTGAGAGTGACGAGCTTGAAGAGGTTTTGTGTGATTTCTTACTCATCTTAACTCCAACTCCTTCCAATATTGAAGAAGGAGAAGAAGTATCTAGTCATGAATTGTTGCTCTTCTTCCTCTTTGTACACTATTTCTCTTTATATACTTTAACTTCTCTTGTTGCTCAGATATATGAACTTTAGTTTAGGGATTTTATTTGGGTATGTTTGTAAACTTTATTGTGAACCAATTATCTATATCTATTAATGTTTATCATGTTTCGTTGTACTTTGACTGAGTCTTTGTATTTGTGTTTTTTACCTAAGATGGTGACCATCTGATTAGGTCAAGATTAGAATACACATTAATAAAGTGGAGTTATAATTGCATGAGCATCGGTTTGTAGCTTTATTTGCATAGGGTTAACCCACTTGGAGGAATCTAGGCTTGGTCATCTAGGGATTTGTTGGTTGTATGACCTTTGAGCCAAAATGTTACATAGAAGTGCACCTAAGTGACATGACAATTGCCTAAGGAGCTAGGTTAAGTGATTAGATTCCTAGCAATTTAGAATATAGGAAAGCCTTATATGGTTAGCATCATCTCATATTGTTTCGTATCTAATGTCTCCTAATAAATAAAAACCTGTTAGATTGAGAAAAACCTACATTGTCATATCAAGCTGAACCATTAGGCTGGGCTGGTAGAATAGGGAGTTAGCCATCAAACCGGTTCAGATCATTCTATTAACCGCCCTCATTTGAATTGGCTAGTCGAAAATGGTTCGATTGATTAACTACTCTGGCCGAATCGAACAATCGATTTTTGAATTCCCAAACGCATGGTGTAAAAGATATGCAAATACCTTAGAATATTGCTGAGAGTTTACAAATGTACCTAGTTTCCTACTTAAAAAAATGACAAAATTATAATTAGTACTTAATTTTTAGGAATATATTGATAGTTAAACTATTATGTTAGAAAAGATCAACATATGGAGTTTGTATATTAGAGACTAAAGCACTCCTTTTATCTAAGACTAATGTTTTTATTTTGAAATTATGGTTTAGTATGTTATTGGGTTATACGTATAATATGTCCCTCTACTATGATGTTTTATCAAACATGCCCATTTACTATTTTTTACATCAAACATGACCCTGTGCTTTGTAAAAATTATCAAACATGCACTTTTGTTAAAATTGTCATCCAAAAACAATTAATCAACGCTGAACTTTGGTTTGGACGACACAAATGTCTAAAATATCCCTAATAATTTCAATTTAGAATTTCTTTTGTTCTTTTGTATAGCCAAATAATTCAAATAATTTCACTTTGAAGAGACCCATAGAAATAAAACGGTGGACAAAACTAATATTTTCCCTCCTATTTGCCGATGTCGGGTCATCTAAATCTCCGTTCAACCATGATTGACGATTTTTTCAATGGAAATTTTAGCATAAGGGCATGTTTGATAATTTTGTCAAAGTACAGGAGCATATTTGATGTAAAAAATAGTAGAGGGGCATATTTGATAAACCGTCATAGTAGAGGGGCATATTATACCTATAACCCTATATTGTTCTATTTATATAATATTATTATTAATGAAGTTCGTTGAAAAAATTAGCGATTTAATATCAGATAAATCAATAAAGCGTGAACCGCTAAACCAATTCATACTACCGGTTCGATTTTGACAACACTGCAGAACCGATGGTAATTTTGAAAAATCCTTTTTTATATCAGCCATTTGTTAGAAAATCTCCGGGAAACGAGAAATGGCAGAGTGACATGAAACGGCTATTTTAAGAAGCTCAACCAGCGTGGTCGAATTCCATTGGTTTCAGACACGCAAACGCTTGAGAAAAAGGAAGTATAAATGCCACGTCAGGCTCCAGCCAGCGCTACCCTAAACTGCCAAGTTTGAGACTCCTTGGTTTCAGCTATTTGCCGCAATTTGTTTGTTTTCTCGGTTCCCTCTGTTTCTCCTCTTCTTTCTCTCTTTCTCCTCGTAGTTATAAACAAAGCAGAATTTTCAATCCAGCAATGCAAATCTTCTGAGGGTTATTGTTACAACCAACGCAAAGCAATCCCTTGTCACAATCCCTCGCGTAATTTTAATCAATCAGTCAAAATCAGATCAAAATCCTTGATGGGGTCGAAGAGGAGCGCCGTTAGCAGTGCGTCGCCGGCGAAGGCGGTGACAGGGTGGGTTGGCCGGCAGTCCACCAGAGTGAAGGCGATTCTCGGGGTGGCAATTGGGTTGTTGACGCTGGTGGGTCTGAAGCTGTGGGTGAGGAACCATAACCATTTCTTCGTCGCCTCAGAGGCCATCCATGCGGCCGGGATCTTCGTTCTGGTTTACAAGCTCACCACCCAGAAGACCTGCTCGGGTAACATCTCCATCTTAATCTTAATTATGTCATGCATAAAAGCCCTTTTCCTCTACTTTTTAATTGAATTGTGTGATTGTGTACTGTGTGTGGACCCTTTTCCGTTTGTTGACTTCTGATGACTCTCTCTCCCTCGCTTTCTCTTGTGTTTGACACTGTGCTGAAGAAGGTTTGATAATTGGCTTGGCTGGTGAGAAATAAAATAAATCGTTAAAAGGACGACCCACGTTGTGTTTGGTAAAGAAAATTTAGCGCCGTCGTTTGGTCGCCGATTGAATTTCTAGTTTTTAGCATCGGAGTGAAAACTGGGGAGCCCTCAGATAATGGCTGTATCATAGAGATCGAATTCGCTGCTTAAGGAACTCAAGAAAGAGTGAGGCTCGTTATTATGACATGAGTTGTGACAATCTAATCTTGCATGCTATCAACCGCGATTCAGGCACAATAAACTTGGATTATACTAAAAAAATGACTGCACCCGGCCCGAAAATGTGTTTAAGCCACACAGCATAAGTCGGGATCTGTGAGTTTTTGGGATTTGTTGATGTCAGTCAGGGGAAGGCTCTGTGTTTTAAAAGGATTCAGATGATCAACTGCTCGACCAACTCATGCAGTTCTACTCAATCTCAAACCCTGTCCAGGAAATTATTAAGAAAATGGCCAAACACTGGAAAGACCCACGAAATGCTAAACACGGCTGTTTCTTTTATAACTTGTGACTAGTAATCGTTCGTGTGTGTTTTCTTTAACTGCTCATCTGAAAGTGGGTTGATTCGTTTTTGTTTTTGTGCTGTATGTTTTCATCTTTTCTTTGTGTACAGGGCTGTCACTGAGGAGTCAAGGATTGACAGCATTGTTCCTAGCTGTGCGGCTGTTTTGCAGCGTGTTCATGGAGGCAGACATCCACACCATGCTGGATTTCGCTAGTCTGGTCTCGACTCTGTGGGTGATATACATGATGTGGTTCAAGTTGAAGGCAACTTACGTCAAGGAGCTTGACAACATGCCCTTATACTATCTGGTATGTAACCAAATGCATCTTGATTATATTGATTTCACTTTTGAATCACGGCAATCATACAGCATTGATAGGGAGCGTACATCAATTTTATTTTTACCTGATTCCCAATTGATTGCATGTGTTTGAACTTGTATGACAGCTCATTCCTTCTGTCGTGCTTGCTTTGATCGTAAAGCCGTATACTCACTACGGCTTTATGAGCGAATTCCTCTGGGCATTTTGCTCCTACCTTGAGGCTGTCTCAGTCCTCCCCCAGCTGCGACTGATGCAGAATGCTAAGGTACTATTGTTGGCACCTTATTTAGAGGTTTTCTCGCAGGTGGATTGTAGCTAACCACATGTTTTTGCCTCAGATGATTGAGCCTTTCACGTCTCACTACGTATTTGCGTTGGGCATTGCTAGATTCTTGGCTTGTGCACATTGGATCATCCGGGTAAATTTCTGTTCCTCTGTGTCCCATGTCATTCCAACATTGCTATGTGCACAAGACCTGAGGCGATTATTGAAACTGAACTTGTAGCCGTGGTTGATTCGATTGAACTAAGTTCACCAAAAGGAGTACAATTATTTAACCTTGACAAGCAACTCCATTTGGGGAGCATCAGTAGTCGTGGATTCATGCTTATTCACCCTATCTCTTCAGGTAATTGAAACCCGTGGGGCGTATCTGTACATAGCGGGAAGTGGGTACTTCTGGTTTCCCGTGGCATTCCTGGCAGAAATGGTTCAGACATTTATCTTGGCTGATTTCTGCTACTATTATGTGAAGAGGTAATACTGGCAATGCCATCTGCTTCCATCATGATGAATGTCTACTTTGTTTTACTGTTTTTGACTCCTTTGTTGTTGTTGTTGCTGCTGCTGCTGTTGGCAGTTTTATGGCAGGGCAGCTTGTGATGAGGATGCCTGTTTAGAATTGATGCATGAGAAGAGAGCAAACTTTTGGGATAAACTATTGTAATGGTTAAACAGTGTACATTTTGCTAGCCTTGCTAGGTAGGCTGAATGTTTCCGAGTTTCTGTTCTGTTACAAATAATGACGACCAAGATTTCATGCTCATCAGCAAAGGCAAACCCTAACAGTTAAATTGCTTCCCGTTCTTTATCCACCCACATTGAACGACATGGTATTCCAAATATGATTTGGTGAAAAATGTTCTAGAAGACGAACATTGATTTTTTTATCGTGAGTTACGGATGATTTCAAATGGTATCGCTTCAAACCACTTGGTGAAGTGGTCCTTCCTACAACCAAATACTCCTCTATTGCTATGCGCAAAGCGCCTTTTTTTTCTTCCAAAAGATAATCTTGATGGTTGGTTATAAGTTATAACTCAGTAACACGAAGGTGTGGTTAATTTGCATATTAATTAATTAATTAATATATATAAACGTAAATACATGTTACTGTTCACTAACAAGGACTAACTCACTATGCAAATGGCCGGCTGTCCCTTAAATAAAGTTGACAAGAGAAGTAGGGAGGTAAAAAAACACAACATTGTATTTGTTGACGATGATGTCCTACCTTCACGGCTTGGTTCATCAATAGTAGTATTATTTTTGAGCTACATCTTATAATATCGGTGTTTTGGTTTATAAAAAAAAATCTACGAGCAGGCATTGGTAGTTTGTTCGATTTGACCTGCTTCATTCTTGACTCGTATTGTCTAAATTATATATAATTTTACTTAAATTATTTAAGATTTTATTTTCTTTATATCATATTTTTTTCGATAATTGACAATTCTCATTAAACTCAACTGGTCTAAACCAGAATCGAAAAATATAAGGAGGGTGTAAACACCACCAAAGCAATGACCTATCAATCACTACTAAAAATCGAAAAACCCTCTAAGTATGAACCAAACCAAATAACGAAGCAAACTCAGCTCGACCTACACCAAAGTTACTACAATCCGAATAGAAAGAGTCAATCAACAACTCAGGAGCTAGCTCTCTACCCCAAACACCCTGGTGCATCTTTCTCTCCATATAGCAGCAAGCAACCAACACACGCAAAATCAATCACTTGACTTTGGATACCAGAGGAAGAAACTAGATTAGTTGCAGCAGCTAGCCAAACCTCCCAAGAAAAATCTCTTGGCATAGGAAAACCTCTCAGTACAGTCTCAGCCACTTGTTTGGTGTAAGAACAATCAAAGAATAAATGAGATCTTGAATCAGTACCATCAGAGCACAACACACAACCTGGATCAATGATCTTACCCCAGCTAATCAGCTTCTCCCTAGTAATGATTTTGTCCTTCATAATGAGCCAGGACAAAAATCGATTGCTAGGAATATTATGTTTCGCCCACAGCAATTTCCACCAAGGAACAATCGGATGTTTAGCCCTCAAAGAGGTCTAGACTTTATTGATCTTATATTTCTCCAGCAAACATCCTTTCCACAAAATAGCCCCTCTCTCCTATGGAATCGGTCGAAAATGAAACCAAGGGCCGAGTTTGAGCAGTTTGCGCCATATTCAAGATCCTGACTGAATTGCTTTCAGATCCCAATAAGATCTCCCTTTTATTTTATACTTGTGCGCCCAAGCAACCCAGAAGGACCCTCCCTGCATTAAGAGTAGCCACACCAATTTACCTGCAGAGTTTATTGAGTATAAGAACGAACATGGCACGAAAATAATATTTATTTGATAGAAAATAAATATAATAAAAATTATAGGTTCAAATATTACAAAACACAAGTAGAAAAATAATTGTGTGTTGCTGTTAGAAGTGTCATAAAGATATATACGCAATTACTAACATAAGTCAAAATGGACAAAGAATTAAATAAAGTCAAATCACACTCGCTATACTTCCACTAACAATTAAGGTCGATGGCGACTCCGAGCAATTCGCGACGGATCCCCTGATCCCGAGGGTGCGGTTGCGACACTCGTCTAACACAAGATTCACAAATACAAACGATAAATAAAAGCTTGATTAACGCCAAACAATCTTTTAGAAATAATGGACCGAATGCTCCCCAGCAACGACACCAAAAACTTGACTCGTCCCGAGTATCACACTAAAACTTCCTAATTAAGGGCCAAGTATAAGCCTCAGTTATGTGAAATATAGGTCAAGTATGTTTAAATGTCAACCCAGGCCGGTCCATATACACATACTTCGATTGTTTGAAACGTTATCTAGCGGTTGGTTTTTTATTGAAAACTATGGTCTACTGTTAAAACGAAGGTAAAGGGAATTGGTTTTGACTCTTGAATAAGAAGGATTCACCCGGGTGTAGCCCCCCTAACTCACTATCACGACTTGTCGGAACGAGCTCTGGAAATACCTCCAAACTCATATTAAAACACACCCACACACAAACAATCATTCCATACATTCATTCACATGGTAGAAGTTAGGGTTCACCAACACCCAAGTGAAAAAGGAAACTACTCCATACTAGGAGAGAGGAAAACACAAAGGGAAAGGAGAAAACCATCATGGAGATGATTGGATCCTTCCTTGTGCAATGGAGATCTTCCTTTGGGGCAGATTTTTCTCAAATCCTTCCTTGGAGTGAAACCCTAGCTTCTTCTCTCTTCTTGTTCATCCCTTTCTCTCTCTAGAAATTTGAAGAAGAAGCTTTCTCACTCAAGGTCTCTCCTCCTCTTTTCTTTCAGCTCAAGCCTCCTTTTATACCCAGATCGGGCTCAAATCACGGTCTTAGTTCACGACCGTGAACTGAAAGCACGGACCGTGAACTAGGGTTAAAACGTGTCGTCTCACTTACTTCAGTTCACGAGCAACAGCTTGTGTTCAAGGTCTTACGATCGTGAACTGGCTTTAGTACAGTGAGACTGAAATTCGCTCTGGACACCTTGCGGTTCATGGAGAATGGCTTCTGTTCACGGTCTTAGTGACCGTGAACTCACAATTCCAGCCGTGATTTGCTACTGCTTCCCACCTTTGACTTGATTTCTCGCCCTTTCGTCCAAATTTCGATCCCATGGTTAGTTTCACCTACCATAATATGAAAAACACCAAAACAAAGCAAAACCCGGCGTAAAACCAAATCTCTCGGAGAGCAAATGCCTCAAACAGCTAAGAAAGCGAGGTAAAAAGATGTACAATTGAGCCCGAATTATTATCATTATAATGTATTACATACCAAGATGGTAGGATGAACAAAACAACCCGCAACTTAACCTACTCGTCCAACCCGACCCAACCTACCCGTATCTATCGTCAAAATTAAAGTTTAAAGTTGGGTGATAGTTTTTTATTATACAACCCACCTCTATTGGGTAGGGTGTGGATTTTGGATAACGCAGCCTGTAGAACCCGACCCAACCTATGTTGAACTATTGTCATAAGTCTTCGTATCCAAAACATATTTGTGAGAAAAATAAGCTATCTTGTCATATTTTTCTCTAGTCTAATACATTCTTCAGCTTAATATTTGGACGTATATTTAATATAAGCTATGATTCACGTAAGACTTTTCTTGTGTACAATTTTAGAAGAATAATATATTATGAATATGTTAGCTTATAACCACTTTAGCTTATTTCGACAATTATTTATGAAGAAACTAGACATATGTTTAAGTAAATTGCATTTCATTAAAATCCAAACAACATTTATGCATATTGATACTTTCCTCCTCAATTTATTTGTTTAAAATTTTTATTAATTATATAATATTTTTGTAGTGTAGAATAGTAGAATTTTTTGTGTTGTGTTGGGTTTTTAATTAAAAGTATCTCCAACCCTACTCGACCCAATTATAAACAAACTATAGGGTTCTAATTTTTTTGGGTGTGGATTTAATACTTTCAAAACCGTAGTATATGGATCTGTAATTAAAATGACCAAACTCAAATCACCCGACCCATGTACACAAAGATGATATCTATTTTACATATTATTATTGTAATATAAGTTTATGTACCACCATAGTATACCATGTAAAGAATGCTTTGGTTAACGCATTACTCCTCAAAATATCTTAGAGCGGATATCATTTTGTATAGTATGATTAATTCAGTTTTATGTTCAAAAATTTTGAAAATGGAAATTAAAACAAATTGAGATATAGTCGTTAAAGTCTTAAGAAAGACTAAAAAATATATAATCATTAAAATTTAGGACATTGCTACGATGACATGCATGTCACGGTGACATGCACTTTTCGGTCGACCTCATATAGGATCAGGTCGACCTAATCTGTTGTTTCAGTGTAAAAACAGTTTCATGGTGCCTACTTTGGAGATTCATATCTTACAATTGGCTAGATGGAAATTGGAGATTGAAGGCTTGTTTTGAAGCTGAAGTGTCCCTCTACACATTAAAGTACTTGAGAGCTCAATAGAAATTCTAGAAGACCATTTTTGAACCTGACCAAAAGTCTATGCCAAAACTGGGAAACTGCCTGAAAATGGCTAAGTCTGGCAACGTGTTTGTCAAGCCTACTTTGTAGCTCAATTTGAGAAGCATGGATGCGAGTCAAGTCCAGGGGCCTCTACCACGTTAAATTACGTATTTTTTTATACAAATGCAAGGCATTTGATGAAAGATTGAATATCTTTAAGGCTTCAAACAAAAGGCTCGAAGTTGCTACGAAGGCTGTTTTTCTGGCCGCTTGCTTGTGCTCGAAGTCTGCCAGAAAACAGCCTTCGTAGCAACTTCGACCCTTTTGTTTGAAGCCTTACAGATATCCAATCTTTCATCCAATGCCTTGAATTTGTATAAAAACATACCTAATTTAACGTGGTAGAGGCTCCTGGACTCGACTCGCATTCATGCTTGTCGAATTGAGCTCCAAAATAGGCTTCACAAACACGTTTCCAGACTTAGCGATTTCCAGGCAGTTTCCCAGTTTTGGCATAGCCTTTTGATGAGGTTCAAAAATGATCTTCTGGACTTCCTATCGAGCTCTCAATCACTTCAATATGTAGAGGGACACTCCAGCTTCAAAACAAGTCATTAGTCTTCAATTTCCATCTAGCCAATTGTATGATATGAATATCCAAAGTAGGCACCATGAACTGTTTTTACACTGAAACAACAGATTAGGTCGACCTGATCCTATATGAGGTCGACCGAATCCTAAATGAGGTCGACCAGATCCTATATGAGGTCGACCAAATTCTAAATGAGGTCGACCTAATCCTAAATGAGGTCGACCGGAAAGTGCAAGTTACCATGACATGCATGTCACCGTAGGCACACCCTAAAATTTAATGGAGTAATTGTGCAGGAGTAATTATGTTTGGTACTCAATTTTGGAATCATGTAAATATAATTAGTTCACTACCTCACAGAGATTATCCAAAACATAAAAGAAACAAAGAATAAATGAAAAAAAGTGATAGGACTTGATAATGGATAACTCCATCCTTAACAACCAATGCAAATTGCTTCTATTCACTGCAATTGCATGCTTAACAAAAGTGAACAAGAGAAATGAAGAAAGAAAGGACGAGTGAGGCAAATCCAGCTAGGTTCATAATCATCATATCCGAAATTGTACTCTGCATATCCTAACATATAAATTACAAGAATAATATATAATGATATAGTCGTGGTTTAACCGGTAATATAAGATATGATATATTGTTTAAATAATACTTAAATATTATATGATTTTAGGAGAAAAAGAAAAAGAAAACAACAACATGTTCCATTTATATGATTAAGGGGGAGAAAAGAGAAAATTATTCAATAGACCTTCCACATTATGCAGTATTTTTAGATCCAATGAGGGGAAATTAAAAGCACAGCCAATAGCAGCCTTAATTAGCGAATAATTAGGAATTAGTGGTTTAACCTTGCTTAACGCTTTCCCCCTCGCCGCCCAGGCTATAATCATTCCTTCCTAATAACCGCCTTTCTCCAACTCTTGCTCGCCCAACATGTGGCCGTCTCTTTCTATCTGACACCTTTCTTCTCTTTTTTTTCCCTCTAGAAAATCATATTTCGTTACGAACGAACACACATGAATCGGAGAAATTTATTACAAAACTTTTTTTTATGATAGACATAAATGAGAACTAAATGAAATCGTACGTATGAACCTCTCTATCTATTTGTGAAGGGAGGAGAGCAACTGCAAGAAGGACATCAACAGTTGCAACGAGTTAGCAATGGCGATGGATGACGTTGACAAGAGAGAGGACGAGATTGAGCTGGAGCTAGGGCTTTCTCTTGGCGGGAATTGCAATACCCGGCTGCAGAAATTCATTTCGGTTCAGAAGGAGGCCCATGAGCGGAAATTCATACCTGAGTTGGCTAATTTGGGTTTTGGGGTTCAAGCTTGCACGAGGTTTGGAGAGTTGTCGGGTTTTATGGGTGCGAATTCTGAGCAGGACATGGATCCCAAGATGAAGCGCGAAATTCAGGCAATGAGGAGGCAGGAAGCAAAGAAGAAGAGGGGTGAGAAGCAGTTGAAGATGGCGCTTACCAAGGGGAAGCTCACCGCCGCTATCGGATGTTCCTATCCGGCGAATGCTGTTTATTTGAACGGAGTATCTCACCACGATCCGGAGGAGCATGAATGCAAGAGGAGAAAGAGCATCAATTTTAGTGTCGAGCGGTTGGCGTCTACACCACCTACCTTGCAACGACTCTCGGGCCCGACTTCTCTACAGTTCAGTGTGCCAGCTCACGGGGTTGGGCGAACCGAAAGCAGAGCAATTCCCTGTTGGTTCGTCGGTGGCGGGTTCGAGACGAATCTAATTCGACCAGTCCATGTGTGTGTTGAACCTTGTCAGGGAGTAACAAACGTGCATGATTCGGAGCAGCACGGTGACGAAGGTGGGTCGAATAGTCACATGTATGTACCTCTTCCATAGTTTTGGATTACCGGAGTTCTTCTCATGAAGGTATATTATATGATATTAGATTACTGTTCTTCTGGTTCGTATCCTCGTTGTTCTGATAACAATTTATAGACACCAAACCACCTATTGTCTCCTTTTTTTTTTTTTTGTGAGGCAGAGTACTAATTGCTAGAGCTAATGATTTTAAAGAACACACACATTCTATTCTATGGACATGGTTAATAATTGGCAATAGATTGCTACATTGCCAACTCTTGAAAGAAAGAGAGGCATGCTTAATTGTTGCTAGGAGGTTAGCTATTGGCAGCAAATTTTAGCTCCTAGCTAGCTAGAAATAGAGCATTCCATGGCAGAGCAACTTCTTTCCATTTTATTGAAATGAAATTTTCTTGCTGGTCTAGGATTGGGATTTTGCTTAGGAGTTGAAGCTATATTTGCTAGAAATCAAACTATTTCTAAAATGTTTTCTTAGTTTGAAGCCTTTTTCAATATACATATAGCAAGTGATTTTGTTCAGTGTGTATGATAATGTTTGGTGGAGCTTTGTTTGTCAATCATAAGATTAACTAAAGACACGATGTACTTAAATTCAGGACGTGGTGGCAGCAGTGAAAGTATAAGCCATTCAATGTTATCAATCCTCGAACAACCGCAATTCAATGGTACTGGGAGCAGCCGCATCAAGATCCAGTTAGAACAGACAGCTACGTCCGATCTCATTGAATCCGCCAGCGAAGAAACAAACTGCATAGAAGCGATCAAAGCACCATCGAATGATGCTCAACCTGACGATCCTCACAGTAGTTTATCAAAGAGGAGCAACCAACAAGTAGGTTGCAATCTTCCCAAAAGCTCAAACCAACATGAGAATGATGTGCACCCGACCTTGCCCTACATGCCATGCGTATTGGCGACAAGAAATGTGCCGAATGGGAAAACCGTGCATGGATTTCTCTACGAGTACACGAAAGGGGAGGCGAGCATCATTTGCGTCTGCCATGGAAGCTCCTTCTCTCCAATGGAGTTTGTGCAGCATGCTGGAGGCATAGATGTTTCTCACCCTATGAAGCATATCACGGTAGTTCCACCTACAATTTGATGTGTTGGCATAACAATGGGGAGTAACTTTGTTTCACTTTCTTAACTCCTTTTTTCCTTCTCTCGAGCCAAACATTTAGTAGGGATGAGAGGGAGATGACTTCTACATGTACATTATATCTTTGGATTGTTGGGAAATCTTCTGGTGGAACAGAGGAGATTCAATTTGCTTTGTTTTTGTTTCTTTTAGTAAACTATCTAACCGCTTCAACAATTAGGTCTAAAGGGCTCTGCGTTCAGGCTCAAAAGTTAACACATCTCATTTTCTTATACATCAATAGTATTTATAAATATATGTAGACTACATTCATAAATGCCAAGTCTTAGGACTATGACTAGAAATGACGGTCGTATTCGATCGAACATTATTCGATCGAGCAATGTGATGCCTTAGTGGAGAAATCCGTAGGGTCCTTGCCGCTCATTAGTTCGGGTAAATGCTTCGATGCAAGGTGAGATCTAACGAAATAAAAAATCGACAGCTCGTATGTTCAAAACATTGAGGGATACGTAACTAAAAGACCTAGGAGGAGGCACCTCAGCCCTCCTAAACTGTTTTAACTCAATTGAACCGTGTCTCGCCACTAAAGTAAGGGTTCTGAGAGAGATTTTAGGGAAATACGATTCTGTCCTTAGTGCTAGGTAAATTTTGTGTAAGCTACTTGCCAGATCATAAGTAACTATCAACGATTATCTAACAGTTAACCACTGAAACATAAATCACTAATTTTTCGGTGCGATATCCATTTCGATTATAAAAATATGTTTTTTTACCAATAATTGTAAAATCATACTGGAGGTTGTACGAGAAAAATCACAATAAAATATTTTATACGGAAAATATAATTTAACAATAATTCAACCATTAAAATACTACTAAATACTCCTGGTGAATTTTTGTCATCAAACCACCAATAATCTGATAGGCTACAATTTTTCAATTCTTGATTTTTAGTTTTTACCTTACGGCGAAAAAAGATAATTCCTCCCCTCTCCCTTTCACTTAGGGATGGCAATGGGTCGGGTTGGGTCGGGTTTTGCCAAACCCAAACCCAAACCCATGGGTTTATCTTTGAAAAAAACCCGGGGTAAAACCCACCGGGTTTGAAAAACTCAAACCCAACCCAACCCGTTGGGTATCCGCGGGTTCATGGGTACCCACGGGTTTTGTCGTAAAAAAGTTACAATTACAAGTTCTTATCAAAATTAAAGTCAAATATCAATCTCTCAATATAAATTATCCATATATAAAACACCATTCTAGAAAATTCAAGCAAATCACAAATTAACTATACAAATTGTTCAACACCAATCTAGAAAACTCATGAAAATTGAAGCAAATCACAAATTACCCATAAATAACATGTTTAATTGAAAGCTTCTTTCTTTCAATTAAGTTTCTTTAGTCTCCACTCCATAACATCAACTTCATTCTACACAATTAAAAAGAAAAAATTAGACATGTCTCCACAAACATAAATAAGAATAGTTGTTTAGAATATTAAATATACCGAAAAAATTAATTATATGAGTGGGCGGGTACCCACGGGCCGGGTTTACCTAAACCCAAACCCAACCCAACCCGGTGAATAGTGAACGGGTTTAAACCCAAACCCGGCCCAAAACCCGTCAACACGGATTTTACCCGCGTTGACCGGGTTGGGTCGAGTGGGTACCCGTGGGTTCGGGTTTTGTTGCCATCCCTACTTTCACTCACTGGCCGTCTCTTTTCCCTCGTCCTCGAGCTTCGCCAACCAAGATCCGCAGCAAAACCCTAGAAACCGCTATTTCACCCCCACCGCCGAGGTGAGAGAAAGCGCCATTGCCACCGGCCAAGCTGCACCCTCCGCTACATTTCTCTCACCTCTCTTTCTCTCTCGCACGCTCGCAGCCGGACCTCTATACGATCCGAATCTCTCAACCTCCCTCAGGTACTGCCTCTTGTCTCTTTTTCTTTCTCCATCATTTCGGCACTTTCTTTTGTTTCCATGCTCTCGTAGCTCTTCTCTTCGCTCCGCTTCTGGTAGGAGCTAATTTTCCGATGAGTGAAATTGTTTTCTCGTCAAACTACCTACTGCTCTGAGTGTTGCCCCCCTCTTTGTAAGATTTGAAAGTGTCTGCTCTGTCTTCGAGTTTTTGTGGTTGGCCGTTATTTCTCTGTTACATTTGTTCGATCGCGAAATGTTCTTTTAGGGTTTGGTGGGAGTGATTTGTATATGAAATGAAGCATTGCGAGTCTAACTAGCTGTTGTAATTTTGCTCGCTATTGCTTATCAGAGATTCGCAGCAGGATGGCAGCTACCGTAGCACCCATGCAGCATCCCACAATTCCTCCTGCCGATGTAGTATGTTTCGTGATTCTTTCATCTCTAACTAGGGATTTTGTCTTCTGTCAGCCACATGCCTTCTGCTTTGTTGTCCCTATTGCGTCCTTTAATGGAATCGGCGATGGATGTAGGTTGGCAATGCATTTGTTCATCAGTACTACCTTATCTTGCGCCAATCTCCAGAGCTTGTTCACAGATTTTACCAGGATGATAGTAAGCTTGGCCGCTCTGAAGAGAATGGGATCATGAGTACCACAACCACAATGCAGGTAATATTTTGATTCTTTATTGCTGCATAACTGGTTCGTAGCTATTTCTCTTGTCTGCTGCTTACACTTTCAGTTCCCTTTTCCTTGACTGTCTTATTCTTCTAGCCATTCTCCTGGTATTTTAGCATTCTTGTATCCATGTTCATGAACCAGGCCAGAATGTTCCTTCCTCTCTTTTCGTCATATTCATGGAGAGAATGAAACGAGCAATCTACTGAAATGTTCTCTACTACAGATTTGAGTAACATTTTATCTGTAGTATCAATGTTATATAGTGACATTCTGGTCAATGCTTAATAGTTAATGGTATTCTGCATGTACAGGCCATCAATGAGAAGATACTCTCACTTGGTTATGAAGATTGCAAGGTCGAAATTCTGACAATCGACTCCCAGGAATCATACAATGGTGGGGTCCTAGTCCTTGTGACTGGATATCTGACTGGAAATGATGATGTGCGACAGAAATTTACTCAGAGCTTCTTCTTAGCACCTCAAGAAAAGGGCTATTTTGTTTTGAATGATGTATTCCGAACTGTTGATGAGGCCACGGTTCATAACGGGAAACCAGATCCGGTTGACGATGTTAAATTCCCAGCTACTACTGAAGAGGGTAATGTAAAATTTAATGCCTACTGAATTTTTTTGTTTACTTGTATACATCTTAAAGAATTTCTCTGCTCAGATTCTTCGCTTGTTAAGGAAAATATTATTTTGGAGCAAGTACCCAGTTTATCAGAGGATGTCAATGGGGGTGAAGTTTACGATCCATCCGACAGTGGGGATGCTTCAGTGGAAGGGGAGGAAGTACCAGTGGCTGAAGTTCTTGATGAAGTTCCTGAAGACTCACAAATGGCAATTGATTCACAAGTGGTCACCGGATCTGACACTAAGATTGAGGATGTGCCTAAAAAGTCATATGCTTCCATTGTAAGTATGGATTTGGTTTTGCTAGTTCTTCCAATCATTCTGAGTGCATAACTTAGTAATATTGTTTATTATTATATTTGGTTGGAGATTCTGGAGTTTATGCAGCTGTCTGCATCCGCCAAGTCTTATATGAACCTGTTTATTGTTGGGAACATTTATTACAGGTGAAAGTTATGAAGGAGAATGCTGCGCAATTCTCATTGCCTGCTGCTTCTCCACTGAGATCAGCTCAAAAGAATCAAGAGCAGTTGCCTGCATCGGCACCTCCATCCCAAGTATCTGAACCACATGCCTTGAACTCAAACGGGACTGAAAATGGTAGTACCCAAGGCATGGAAGGTGATTTGTAATGACGTTTTAAATGTTAATTTCTTGAAGAGGAAGTTTTTTTTCTCTTATCACGACTGGGAGAATTTGTTCATCCACATTCTTATCTGATACGTTTCCTACTTAACTTGTTTTCCACAGCTGAGGGTCCTTCCATCTACGTCAAAGGGTTGCCTTTTGATGCTAACCATGCTTTGATTGAGAATGAATTCAAGAAGTTTGGGATAATCCGCTCTGGTGGTATTCAAGTTAAAAACAATAAGGTAGTGGTTCTGCTCTTCCATGAATGCTACCATATATTGGCTCCACCTAATTGAACTGCTACTGACATCTTACCACATCTCTTGTTACAGGGATTTTGTTTTGGCTTTGTGGAATTTGAGGCTGCCAGTGCTGTTCAAAGTGCAATAGAGGTTTGCATGAATGTTATTATGCCCAACATTTGCTTTCCTCTCCTTTCTGGATTGCTTTCTTCTTTATAGTGTTTGGACTTGATTCCTTGGAGCAGTCATTCTTTCAGTTGTACTTGGGTTGTATACTCTCACTTTCAATTTGTGGGGTAAACATTTTTGAGTTAGATCAGAGCTGAATTTCCACCACAGCGTCTCGGGGATATTATTTCGTCCCTGTTACCCCATCTACTCCTCTTTGTCCTGCACACCTCAATTCGATTTGATCTGTTTTAATAACTTGTCTCTTCTGGCTTTCTTTGCGGAGTATCTTTACTAGAAGGCTAGAACCTTTGGTGATCCAAAAAGGGATGCTTACATATGAAAGTCCTAGTGAGAGTGAGTACATACGATGTAATATCTGGAACAAGCTGCAACATGGAGGATGCTAGAAAGTTTCAAAAACAAAGAAGGATGCTCGTTCCCTCTTTTTCCAGTTCCTTACTGTTTTCTGTGTCTGGTGTTTATTTATGATGTTGTAGAAGTCAGCTTGTATTTGTTCAAAAGCCGCGAAAGCTTCTTAACTTGTATTCATGCTTTTCCACTTATGTTTATGTTTCATATTTTGTTTGTGCTGCAGGCTTCACCTATCATGATCAATGGTTTTCGGGTTGTCGTTGAGGAAAAGAGGTCTACATTTCGAGGTAGGTTCTGGGATATGTTCAGTTGATTCCATGAATTTATTCCCTGCTGTTGACTTGTACAGTGCTGTATTTTAATTGTGAATGTGAAATGTCTCCAAAATTTCTCCCAGTTCATGTGATTTGAAGCTAGAAGGTCTGATTATCTTTTTACCTTGTGAGCAGAAAACTATTTATGAGTTCTGCGTTGTCAATACATGTTCCATCAGTTCTTTCATAAAAAAAAAAAAAAAATTACATGTTCCATCAGTTAAGTAGAATAATTGTAACTTAGAGGGTACGTGACTTTTTCAGACATCCTTGATAGCCTTTTTGACTTGAGGTCTTCGCTAGTGTAGTTGAATAAATCTACTCTCACCAGAATGGTATCTAACTAGCAGGGACAAAGTTCTCGCTTGGTGGTAGGTAATTTGGATTAGAATCTCCATTTAGGAAGGGGCTATCTCTAGCCATTATATGATGGCTAATAACGGAGTACCAACTAAAATATACGTCTGTTTCATTGTGTTTACTGAGGGATTTTCATCCGTGCAGGAAACGGTAGGGGTAGGTTTTCATCAGGTGGCGGCGGCGGTTACAGAAATGACGGAGTAAGAGGGCGCGGAGGCTTTGGAGGCGGTGGCAGGGCATACGGGCGCGGCGGGGGTGGCGGCATTGAATATGGGAGCAGGAATGGCGGCCGTGGTAGTGGTGGATTTTCAAACCGTGGGGGTGGTGAAGGATATCGGAGATCTGAAAAGACGGGGAACAATGGTGGTGGGCGTACGAGCCGTTCTGGTGGGCCGCCTATGAATGTGGCTAGAAGCACAGCGCCACATGTGTCTGCGACAGCTTGAAAATCTGAGTCCGACTGATGGTAATGTTTCTGTTTAATCGCGGCAGTTATTTTGAAGTGCAGGGAGTCGTCTGGAAATTTGTTGAGTAGCATTAAGATGAGGTTAATGAAAATTTAAGTAGGGAGTGAGGTAACCTGAAGTTTTCGTTGGAAGGAAATTGGTTTTTGGTTGGTTTTAACTGGCAAGGGAGGGGTAGAAATTCTTGTCTGGTATACTAGTAGGCTAATTATGATATGATAGCTAGCATTAGACAATGTGGCGGCATTGGTTCATTTTCGCTATATGGAAAATACTGCGAGGGCGAACGTCTTCATTGGGTCTGCGTTGGCTCTTGTTTTGATGTTTATGTGAATGTAGAATGTGTTTGTTGACGTAATATAGATTCAGCTGCTCGGAGGCTTCTTCATTTTTTGTTAGTACAAGATAATTGTAACACCCCGGTGGAGCATCAAATATGAAACTCGATGAATCGTGTTGGGTGTAAATATGAAGAAGCCACCGGTCGAGCATCCAATAGTGGGGCCAAATGATTGATGAGGACGATCCAAAGCCCATGGAGGGTTAAATTTGAGGGGATGAAAAGGCCAGGGTGGGTGCTGGGTTAGCCCTTGGCCGCTCACCAAACCTTGATCATTGCAAACTCTAGCAGCTGAAAAGAGATCCAAAGGGGGGGGGGGGGGGGGGGGGGGGGGGGGGGGGGGGCGAGTTGTATTCTTATGCTGCCACTGGAACTTGGAGGATGGATGAGCTTCATCAAGCAAGTAGACCTTGGTCGAAGTCGGCCGAGTGAACTCGTTGACGATGGGCGTCGACGGACGTTGAAGGAGGGGGCAGTACTTGTGAATGTGAGCTAGCTACAACAAACAAACGGGAGTGCAATTGGTTGATGGCCAAGGTAGGAAACGTATTGACGGAAAATAAGGTTGTTCACTCACAAATGTATTAAATTAGCATATGCGGGTACACTTATGGTAACATGTAAGGTACCGTGATTTGTACAATTCGGTTGACCTATATGCTCATTTGGTCGATCGGTTACATCATCATGGTCATTTTGATAGCAACTATGGTTGACCATAACATTTAATGGGTCACTGTTTTAAGGTAGTAATTACCAAAATGGTCGATCACAACAAAAAAAAATTGGTCGACCGATTAGAGGTAGTCATAAAATAATGGTCGACCATAATAGGAAAGAGGTCGAACTTTCAATTTAGTCATATACAAAATGGTGGACCGTAAAAAAAAGAGGTTGACCACTTCATGGAAGTCATTACCAAAATGGTCATTACCATATATGCAATGAGGTCGACCATTTTCAGGAAGAGGTCAACCAGATAGAAGAAGGGTCGACAAGACATCAATCCATCCCTCTTGAAGTGAAACGTAGAGGAAAATGTAGATTTTGCGGTTGACCGCTTATAGTAAATGGTCGACCGCTTATAGTAATTTTGAGTTAGATAATTTCGAGTTCCCCGTTCCCTAATCCCCGTTGCCCTCCCCTAAATAATTTCTAGTTCGATGTTGATAAGGTAATGCAATAGAGGTCGGCCCTTTTAAGAATGAGGTGTACCATTTAATGTACAAAGATGTCGACCTTTTTAATGTTTGCTTGCCAAAGAAGTCGACAATTTTATGTACAAGGTTGACCGCTTTGTTGAACCTAACAAAACAGATACAGTAGATTCGGTAGACTTTTATTACTTTGCAGTCAACCTATTTGAGTAAGTTACGATGACTTGCAAATCACCATAGCGAACTCATTAGCGTGATTGATGGGTTAGGATGAGAAGGAGAAATCAAAACAAAAGTTAGAGCAGCCGCTTGGAGTGTTTGTAGCTTTGTATTAATTAAGGACGTAGACATAAGCGCATGAGACCCTAGGTATTGTGGATGTTGGCAATGTAACAATTTGTCCGGATAAATTATTAAAGGACCACGAGATGGTGATTAAGTAAGTTGAACAAGTACGACGGGTTGAGAGATTTAAGTGGAAGATAAATGGTTCCTTTAATTTGCACACCTTAAAAAGTTTGGTTTTGGTGTTCACTTTACACATTTTGGGTGCTAGAATGTATGTACGAATACGATTTTAGAGCATTATTTTTCGACCGTTGAGATACATAAATATGAATATAATTGAATGCCTTCCACAAGTGGTAGGGGTGCTGATGTGGCGAATTGTGGTTGGATTATGTATGGTTATTGACTAATAGAAAACTGACTAGATCCGCTCCCCTGGAATATATGTATCGTGAGTTTTGGATATTTATTGAGCCATCTGCTAAGGCAAATTATTTATTTCAGAGCAATTAAATTCGAATGTTTAATTTTTTCCCTTTCTAAGATGTATAAAAATGAATATAATTTTGCAGATCACAATTATTGTGCTCTTACTTACTATCTATTTGTTTCAGCCAAAAAACAAGGTAAACGCAGATATGTGAAAGGGAGGGGATGGCCCCTTGTATCTACACTCCGACGATCAACATTAATATGATGATAGAAAAATATGGAGAGTTTAGGTAGAGAGAGATATTGTAGAGAGATAAGTGATATGAGAAAAATGAGTCCAGAGGAGAAGAGAGCCCTTACTTGGTCCTAAGTTATCTTTCACTATTGGATCGTGTCTCTTAATTTGGTCCGATTCGGTCCGGACTGAACCGATGCCCACCCCTAACTAGATGGGTTGATTTCCCCTCTTTGGCAAGGATGGGAGGTTTCGTCTTAACTGGGTTCGGATAGAAATCAATATGTACAAAAAAAACCTAGTTGAATCGTTCCACACCTAGGCCGGTTAGAAAATTTACCCATCCAGTCTTTGAATCGGTCGGGTCTTTGACCTATTCAGATTTGGTTTGGTCGAGTCATGGATCAGTCTAGTCATATTCAATTCAGCCTAATTAATTTATATTTTCTATTAGGGTTTTAATTTACAATTTTGATTAGTGTGTATTGTGATTATGATTAAGGATGTGAATTTAGAAGTATTATTAGTATGTGGTTATCATTCGTGTGAAGTACTTGAATTTAGAATTATGATTGCTGTGATTATGATTAATATGATTAAAAATATGAATTTGGAATTATGATCAGTACATGATTATGATTAGTATGTAAATGATGATAAATTTGATAGGCATAATTAGTACGATTAGTTTATGAATATGATTAGTATATGAACTGGATCAACATGCTAATTTAGCATTATATTTTTTACGGACAACCCGTGAACTTACTTTATCATGTAGTAACTAATCAACAAGATAAACGCGGTTGCTATCATACAAGACCAAAGTTTCATTTCAAAGAATACAGGCATGCGCCATAAAGTGAGCAACCTCATTACCTTCATGAGGAACATATTGTCATTGACCATTGCTCAGCTGATCCAGCTTCCCGACAATTCTCCTACGAATCGTTCCAACCTCGGATTGGATATCTTGGGTGTGTGCGAGCTACTGCACGAGAATAATACAATCTACTTAGGGAGTTTATGATTTCATTGCATTGATGGGTGAGCTGGGCTCTTAACTCCGCTGTTAGTGCCTCGACGAGCTCTATGCTCCTTTTATGCTAAATGTTTCTGGCTGCCGCAAGAACAAACCTTTCATCCGCCTCTCGTATGAAAACTCCAAGCCCCACTCCTCCTTTCGGGAGCAACCCCATGTCTGTGTTGATCTTCAGCTAACCATCTGTCGGTTTAGTCCATAACTTCGGAGGGCTACTGCCTTGTCTCACTCCACTTGTCACCGAGATTGATGGGCTATGTAATTGAGATTGAAGTAATGCGAGCGAATCACAATTTCATCTGCATTCACTTTCCTCCCATTATACATGCAGACATTACGTTCTTTCCAAAATAACTAAAGTAGCACACACCATTCTTTAACCATTACCTTCTCATTGTTCTCCATTACCGCCTTCAGCCAACCGTAGCAATCATGAGTGTCTCAAGCTTTGAAGCAAATCTTTATGTAAGACGCTCTCCAAATTCTGGTCACCCGTTCGCATTCCCTAAACAAGTGGCATTGAGTTTCATTCGAGTCACAAAAAGGGCACTTACCTCCCCATTTATTTTACTAAGAGGACTGATGTGATCGCCTGTTGGCAAGGCATCTCTCGCAAATTTCCAAACGAAGTGTCTGACTTTATGAAGAATCTCCATATGCCATATTGCATTCCACACAGTTTCCTCGCCCACAGCTTCAACTCCATTCCGCCTCTTAAATTTTTGTAGCCACCAGTGATAGCCATCCTTTATTGTATATTCCACTTTGTCAACACTTGAACAAATTAAGGTGTCTCTTTCCCCATTGCCATGCAACGGAATTTGGATAACGACTTGGACCGTCGCCAAATCAAAGCATGCCTTGAGTACCGAAACTTCCCACAACAACATATCTTCATCCATAAGCTCCGTCACCCTTGCATCAACCTCCACACCTCTCGGCTCATCATTGTAAGTTTAGCTTGTGCTATCAATTTGATAAGTATTTCTCGTCCAGCAATAGAAAGCGTCCGTTCCTTCTACCCTTTTAGTTTGGACCAAATCCTTTCCTTTAGGCCATTAAAGACCTCCTTATTCGAAAGTCACACCACCATTGGAAGATAATACGCCCCTGGGGGTGTATGTTTATCAAAGTCACGCAGCAAACGACTCAATCGAAGAATCGATTGAGCTCGAATCAACAACAACGCGTTCTTAATACGAACTTGGATAAAATGGAACCAAAAGGACGATTCCACACCTGGGGAACGCTCGATTGGTATAAAAGGTAGATGCCCGACCACGATCAACGCGTTCTTGATCGATACAAGAGCTCAACGAGCTTGGAATCCACCAAAGCTCACACAAGTACGCAAAATTGCAAGAACCCAAAGGTTTCGGTTTCTATTCAAATGGAGTGATTATACAGCATCTACTGAGCGAATGTGATGATTCTGCAGTGTTGGACTTGCTCGAATCGAGCTGGGTTGCTTCACCCAAGAGAGTGTCTTCGTCGGCAATGCTCTCCAAGAACAGAGGTGTTTTTGCACAATTCGATTCTGCAATTTGAGGTACGATCACCTCCAATGACACAACACCTGCCATTCCTGGAGTCGGAATGAACGTTTTAGCACCGGCGGCAGAGTTCGAATCTTCGCCGGAGATTCCGCCCAAATCATTCTCTCTCATGCTCTGTTTTGACGGAAGAACTTGAAGCGCTGCTGCTCGCATCACCGAGTCGAGTCGCGCGTCGTTGGTAAGCTTCAAGCCACCTCCTTGCTCTCCCATCCCTCCGTCAACATCCATGGACGAGTTTAAGGCAGAAACGTGCGCCGGCTTTGCTTCTACGACGTCGGCAGGACTGCCACAGATGGAACTCTGTTTCACATCGGAAAAACAGAGGTCGTTGCTGGCTGTCGTTTC